CGTACACACAGTAACCTTTTGCCACTTTCTGGGCCACCTCATCACGTACACACAGTAACCTTTTGCCACTTTCTGGGCCACCTCATCACGTACACACAGTAACCTTTTGCCACTTTCTGGGCCACCTCATCACGTACACACAGTAACCTTTTGCCACTTTCTGGGCCACCTCATCACGTACACACAGTAACCTTTTGCCACTTTCTGGGCCACCTCATCACGTACACACAGTAACCTTTTGCCACTTTCTGGGCCACCTCATCACGTACACACAGTAACCTTTTGCCACTTTCTGGGCCACCTCATCACGTACACACAGTAACCTTTTGCCACTTTCTGGGCCACCTCATCACGTACACACAGTAACCTTTTGCCACTTTCTGGGCCACCTCATCACGTACACACAGTAACCTTTTGCCACTTTCTGGGCCACCTCATCACGTACACACAGTAACCTTTTGCCACTTTCTGGGCCACCTCATCACGTACACACAGTAACCTTTTGCCACTTTCTGGGCCACCTCATCACGTACACACAGTAACCTTTTGCCACTTTCTGGGCCACCTCATCACGTACACACAGTAACCTTTTGCCACTTTCTGGGCCACCTCATCACGTACACACAGTAACCTTTTGCCACTTTCTGGGCCACCTCATCACGTACACACAGTAACCTTTTGCCACTTTCTGGGCCACCTCATCACGTACACACAGTAACCTTTTGCCACTTTCTGGGCCACCTCATCACGTACACACAGTAACCTTTTGCCACTTTCTGGGCCACCTCATCACGTACACACAGTAACCTTTTGCCACTTTCTGGGCCACCTCATCACGTACACACAGTAACCTTTTGCCACTTTCTGGGCCACCTCATCACGTACACACAGTATCCTTCTGCCACGCTCTGGGCCACCTCAGCCCGTACACACAGTATCCTTCTGCCACGCTCTGGGCCACCTCAGCCCGTACACACAGTATCCTTCTGCCACGCTCTGGGCCACCTCAGCCCGTACACACAGTATCCTTCTGCCACGCTCTGGGCCACCTCAGCCCGTACACACAGTATCCTTTCGCCACGCTCTGGGCCTCCTCATCACGTACACACAGTATCCTTCCACCACTCTCTGGACCACCTCATCACATACACACAGTATCCTTCCGCCACCCTCTGGGCCACCTCATTACACACACACAGTATCCTTCTGCAACTATCTACCTCATTAATTACATACACACTAGGGATGTTAAATTTTGATTAATCAGCTAATCGAGTAGTGAATGGAATTTCCATCGACTACTCGATTAGTCGATAAGAGTATTCACTGCGGCTCTATTTTATAAATGTAGTAACAGCTGCCAGGCATTTACTACACAGCTGTCTGGGACCAGGATCCTGGGCCAAGGGGGAGCAAAGCAGTCCCCACTGGCACGGGTTCCCCTCTGTGCCTTTTCCTTTGAAATGTACAAGAGCCGCAGACAGCTCCTGTACATTCCAAAGGGAGAGATGCAGCAGTGGGACTAGCACAAGCAGAGAACCATTTCAATCCCCGCTCGTGCCATTTCTCTGCTGCTCCCTCTCTCCCGCGGCCATGGTGCTAATGGGTGGGACTGGCTTTTAAGCTGGCTTCCCCCAGTACCAGCTAGTTCTCCCCCCCACTTGTTGCCTCTCTCTGACAGAGGGAACAAGGGGGGGGGAGCAATTAGTCGAGTTTCTATTAGACTATCCGATAAGCATTTGCTTATCGGGTAGTCAACTAGTCACTTACAGCCCTGTTTACATACCACAACCTTCTGCCTGCTTCTCCTTCAGCACCAATGGCAGCCCTTCCTCAGCTCAGATACAATGTCCTTCCCGCCTGCTCATGCAACAATTCCGCTCTGATTGTTTCCATTCCCTGGGTGCCGATGGTCACATGCAGTTGAATTGTTACAGAGAAAGAAAAAGTTCAGTGTGTGGACTAGCCTCAGCTCACACAAAGTTTCTATCTGCCCTATAAAATTAGTAGATGTGTAAAGTGTAAATACATGGACATATCCTTGGTACCTATATTTAGTATTCAGAATCACAAGTCATCTATAGGGCTTGAACCTATGGAGTTCGTGTAGGCAGTGGACCAGATTCTGTTCTCACTTCCACCAATGTAAATCTCATCTGTTACACTAGTCCAAATCCACAGTAAGTGAGGGAAGCAATTAACTCCCAGTGAGTTATTCCTTGCAAGGTCAGGATTTAGTTAAGCATAATTAGGAAAATGGGAAAATTGCACAGATCAGTTAGGTTTTTCAGACCTCCCTTAGGGCTGTTCTTCACACAGTTTTTGTACCACTTCAACTATACTGGTTTAGAAACCAATACTGTTTAAGTGGTCTAATCCCCTAGTGAGGGCACAGCTTTTTCTGTACCTTTTTAGAAACAAGCTGTCTCTATATAAGCGCCTTTAATACCAGCATAAGTCACTTTTGGAGACATCTATGGAGATCTGGAAGCAGACCTTCATCCAAAATATTCATCAAGCAAAATAAAGATATAAAATGCTCTGAAACTCCATCCAAGATATTTTAGCTGGCCAATATTTTGCTTTGGCATTTTAATTTTTAGAAACGTCACACCTAACAAATATACTCCCAGCAACCCTGTACGTTTTTTATTTTTGAAACTTAAATCTGTTTAACTTCTAGAAATGTAGCACACCACTCACTCACATTTTGACTTATGGAACGGCTATGTTTCCTCTTAAATACATTTAGCAAAGGTGACCAGATGCCTTGTGTTTTGAATGGCTTGTTCTGCATCCCAACAAAATTCCCAGTCTTGGCTGCCTTTGCAGATGACTCATCTTGAAACCCTGCCCAGCTGTCCTGGCACAGACAAGGCACGGCAAAGTTAAAAAACAGGCCATCTGTGCAAGAGAAGTGGGTAGAGGAAGTTGTTTGCCAGAAAAAGGCCCTGCTATTTCTTGGTCACTACACTTTCTAGCTATCCAACAAACTGCAGCATTCTGGATTCAACTGATCTGCCTTTGCAGCTGTTCTCAACATCCTCCTATCTAACACGAAACCTTTTACCTTAGCTATGGAAACTTCTGTTTAGGTCCAACACTTTTGTATTGTGTCAGATTTTTACTCTCACATTAATTCTTTCCAATTACATGTCACGGTTGCTGTCCTCTTGGCTACGTGTAACGAGCTCCACATTAGGGAAACAAGCACGAAACCATTCATTTATGCCAACCCTGAATAATTAGCTCTGTCCAGTTCCATACCAGCGGCACTCGATTGTCTGTGCGGCCACGTGCCAGACACCCACATTCAGAAACACTTCTGTCGCTCCCAGGGCTGATGGAGTCCCCCACTACCTGTGAGGGTCGCGCGTGCGCATCTGGGGCTGGCTCTGGTCTCAAGCTAACACTGAAATGAGCTGCTCTGTGTCTTGAGAAGGTCCTGGCCCTACTGCATCTATAGCACAGCCTGCAGGCTGCTGCATGGCAGAGCATTAATATTTGCTCAGCAGGGCAGAAGGGACTCGAGGAGGGGAGAAAAGGTGGCTGAGATACTGCTGAATCTTCTTTGCAGTCTATATCACCTAGCATCTGAATGAACTATTGTAACTCGATTCATCTGGCATGCACATGAATGACAAATACTCTTCAGAGGCAATAAATTAGCAATTTCAAGGCTTTACATCCCCTCATGGACTAATTGCCAGAGATTATAGTACATTATGAGAAAGCAATGATACTAATGCCTAAATATGCTTCAGTGACTATAGAGCTATCCTCAATAACCATGCAGCTTAAATGTCAGTGCAAGAAGGCTCTTTATTAGGAGATTAAATATTATTTTGAAGCAAGGTGCAATAAATTAGCAATTTCAAGGCTTTACATCCCCTCATGGACTAATTGCCAGAGATTATAGTACATTATGAGAAAGCAATGATACTAATGCCTAAATATGCTTCAGTGACTATAGAGCTATCCTCAATAACCATGCAGCTTAAATGTCAGTGCAAGAAGGCTCTTTATTAGGAGATTAAATATTATTTTGAAGCAAGGTGATAGGATTTTACTGTGCTTTCATCTTTGCAGGAACGCAGTTGGGGAGCAATATATATTTTTACTAACA